CCCTCAAAATTATTCTTTTCACTCAATTATCCCAGGGTTGTGTTTTAAAATTAGGAGTTTGCATGGTGTAGTCCTCACCCTCTCGTAGTTCGGATTTAGCATCACTATCACAAGTCTACATTCCAAAAAGTGAAGGCTCTCCTAGAATTGATTGCTTTAACACTCAAGATCAAACTAGATTACTTGTCTCGCCTCACGTAACATGCAAGATTGAAAAGCCCTACACAATACCAAATTGATAATGTTCCACCAATCCACAACACAAGCCAAGTGTAACATACACAAAACCAACGAAAAGCATTGCCCATCCTGTACAATCAGGCTCAAATAGCTTATTCTCATAATGAACCAAATTAGAGAAGACAAATGCGTAGAAGAAGGAAAGAGGAACATACTAGACTTCGGACGGGATGCGTGGAATGTTGATTTATGGAGTAAATGGGGTGGGGAGTCAAGTGAAATGCGGCGTGTTGAGTTGTGTGGGAGAGTGGTGAGTATGGTGTGTGAGGAAATTAGGGGGAAATGGGGGATAATGGCTCGGTCATGGTTTAAAACCATCACCGAGAGAGTACTATACGGCCGCATAGTAGATATAAGAATCCCCCTTTTGTGTTCGATAAGAGGCTATGCGGTCGCAAAAACTTACAGTCTATGCGATCGGATAGTTTTTTTTTTTTTTTATTGCAATGCATAAAGATATGTCCCTCGTAAAATTTTCCCCTCTTAATTTTTTTTTCTTTTGAAAATAAAAACGTTCTATTATTTAGAAATGCTTGAACTCTATTCCCAAACACCCAAAATATTTCAAACTCACCGACCATGTGTGTAATGCCTAGGGAATTAAGGAGATGAGAATTCAATCCAATTATCATGCATGTACGACGATGACCTAGAAAAATGCAAATGCAAAAATGAAACAATTCTAAAAATAATGTGAAAAGTAAGCTAATAAAAGGATACAGTGGGTTGCTTCCCACCCAGCGCTAGATTATAGTCGATAGCTCGACTTTACCGTTTTGCTTCATTCTGGTAGTCTAAGATGAATGGTAGACTTTTCCTTTGAAAAATTGTCACTCTAATAGTGCTTCAGACGCAGTCCATTGACCTTGAATGTCCCCTTGCTATCGTGAGTGATCTCAACTACCCCATATGGAAAAACCTGTGTAATAGTATACGGACCAGACCACCTCGATCGCAGCTTTCCTGGAAACAGCTTAAGCCTAGAGTTGTAGAGTAGCACTTTCTGCCCCACCGTAAATTCACGCCTTTGAATGTGCATGTCATATCATTTCTTGGTGTGGTCTTTGTAGATTCTTGAATTCTCGTAGGCTTCCATTCTGAGCTCATCCAGCTCATTAAGTTGTAGGAGACATTTTTCACCCGTAGCCTTCAAATCTAAATTCAATTTTTTCATTGCCCAGCGAGCATGATGTTCTATCTCAAGAGGTAAGTGGCATGCTTTTTCGAAAACCAGTCGATATGGTGACATTCCTATAGGGGTCTTGAATGCAGTCCTATAGGCCCACAAGGCGTCGTCCAGTTTCTTAGACCAATCCTTTCGTGACGAGCTTACTGTGACTTCGAGTATTCGCTTCAATTGTCTATTGGACACTTCAACCTATCCGCTGGTTTGGGGATGATAAGCGGTGGCTACACGATGTTTAACACCATATTTAGCCAACAATTGTTCAAACTAACGATTGCAGAAATGTTTGCCCCCGTCAGTGATTATAGCCCTCGGTGTTCCAAAGCGGGTAAAAATATGTTTCCTTAGAAACTCAATCACCACCTTCCCATCATTGGTAGGCAATGCAACTGCCTCTACCCATTTCGATACATAATCCACAGCCACTAATATGTACTGATTAGAGAACGATGGGGGGAATGGCCCCATGAAGTCGATCCCCCAGATGTCGAATAGTTCCACCTCCAGGATACTGTTCAAAGGCATTTCATTTCTCCTGGATATATTACCGATGCGTTGACATCGGTCACACCTTTTCACGAATTCAAAAGCATCTTTAAATAGTGTAGGCTAATAAAAACTTGATTAAAGGATCTTTGCCGCTGTTTTTGAAGCACCAAAATGCCCTGCATATGTAGATGAATGACAATGTTCTAATATCAAAGGCACTTCTTCCTCAGGCACGCAGCGACGAACAATCTGATCAGCCCCCCGCCTGTATAGAATGGGATCCTCCCAAAAATAATAATTCAATTCAGAGAAAATTTTCTTCTTCTGGTGACTGGAGTAATCAGGCGGCATAATAGACCTGACTAAGTAGTTAACTATGTCTGCATACCAGGGTACCTCCTCCATAGCAAAAATCTGTTCATCTGGGAAGACTTCGTTGATTTCCACTGTTTCTGTCGGTCCTGTGGCCTCGAGTCGAGATAAGTGGTCTACCACTACGTTTTCACTGCCCTTCTTATCCCTGATTTCCAAGTCAAACTCTTGAAGCAACAGTATCCAACGAATGAGACGTGGCTTTGCATCCTTCTTCTCCATTAAGTACTTGTTAGTAGTGTGATCTGTGTAAATGATGACCTTTGATCCCACAAGATATGACCGTAATTTATCAAAGATGTATACTACGGCAAGGAGCTCTTTTTCTGTAGTGGCATAATTGAGTTGAGCGTCGTTCAAGGTCTTACTTGCATAGTAAATCACGTGAAATATCTTATTTCTTCGTTGTCCCAAGACGTCCCAAACAGCAAAATCACTGGTGTTGCACATTAATTCAAATGGCAGATTCCAATCCAGTGTGATGATCACGGGTGCTTAAATCAACTTCTCCTTCAAGGTGTTAAAAGCAAGCAGACACTCATCCGTGAACTCAAATGTGGATTCCTTCATCAATAGACAGCACAATTGTTTAGCAATCTTTAAGAAATCCTTGATGAACCTTCTGTAGAACCCGGCATGTCGAACACTTTTCACGGATGTAGGTGGTGGTAAATTCTCGATCACCTGAATCTTTGCTCTGTCCACTTCAATACCCTTTGCTGAGATTCTGTGTCCTAGCATGATGTCTTCCTGTACCATAAAGTGGCATTTCTCCCAATTCAATACCAAGTTAGTCTCCGTACACCGATGTAGCACAAGACTCAAATGCTCCAAGCACTCATCAAACAAAGACCCGAACACTGAGAAATCGTCCATGAATACCTCGATGAATTTCTCAATTATATCTGAGAAGATCGCCATCATGCAGTGCTGAAAAGTTGCAGGAGCGTTGCATAAACCAAACGATATCCTACGGTATGCAAAGGTATCGTAAGGGCAAGTGAAAGTTATTTTCTTCTGATCCAAGCACTATCTGATATTGCATAGATAAAGCCTGCATTGAGCAACTTCAATACCTCAGCGCTAACCACTTTCTTCATGTGTGGATTCAATCTCCACTGACCATCAATGCTTAGTTTAAATTTTTCCTCCATGAGTATTTTGTGCATGCATAGCGACGGGCTGATCTCCTTGATATCTGCAATCGACCATCCAATGGCTGTTTTATTCTCCGTTGCTTGAGTTCCAATTTGGGAGGTTGCTGAATAGATGGCACTGACTTTGTAGACCTAGTTCCCAGCTCTTGGAAGTAACGTCTGCGCATGTATGGAGGATTAGTTTCCAAAAATTGTGCACATGTTTCAATCTCACTCGAATCAGTGTGAGTGGATTGAGAATGTGCAATGCATGCCTCGTAAGCATCAGAAGGATGATGTAACTGAAATGTATCTTGAATTATTATGTCAATTACATCGATCTGGAAACAGCTGTCTGACTCAGTCGAGAATTTCATTGCCTTGAACACGTTGAACGAGATTTGCTCTTTGCCAAGCCTTAATATAAGTTGTCCTTTCTGAACATCAACAATCACTCTTCCAGTAGCTAGGAAAGGTCGTCCCAATATAAGTGGAACATCCTTATCTTCCTCCATATCCAAGATAAGAAAATCGGCTGGAAATATGAACTTCTCCACTTTTACCAATACGTCTTCAATGATCCCTCTTGGATGTGTAAGGGATCGATCTGCTAACTATAATGTAACCATTGTGGCTTTAGCTTCTCCCAAGCAGAGTTTCTTGAAAATAGAGAGAGGTATTAAATTAATACTTGCACCTAAATCACACAACGCTTTATCAAAATGACAATTCCCAATAGTGCAAGATACAGTAAAACTCCCTGGATCATTTAGTTTTGGAGGCAACTTTCTCTGGATTCTGGCACTGTATTCCTCAGTTAGCATCATTGTTTCGTGTTCTTCTCTCTTACGCTTGTTGGAGAGGATATCCTTCAGGAATTTTGCATAACTCGGCATCTGAACAAGTGCTTCGACAAATGGGATGTTGATGTGTAGTTTCTTGAAGACTTCAAGAAATTTACTATATTGCTGATCCAATTTGTGATTTTTCAACCTCTGCGGGAATGGAATAGGAGGCTCATGAGGGTTGATAGGAATGGTAGCTGTACCCCGTGATGTATTGGAATTTTTCTTGACCACATCCCCTGTTGTTTGTTCAGTCTGTTCTACAATTTCGTCATATGAGATTGGTGCTGATTCCTTGCTAGCTACCAATCTTTTTACATGTATCTCTGATAGTTGTACTCCACTTCTAGTTGTTATAGCCTTTGCGTGCTCTTTAGGGTTGATTTCAGTGTTGCTGGGTAGATTTCCTGGTGCTCTACCCGTCATGGAGATTGCCATCTGTCACATTTGTGTCTCCAAATTTTTTATTGCTGCACTTTGGTCTTGAAGAGTTGCATCTATCTTTCGTATAAACTGATTGTTGGCTTCCATATACTGATTGGTTGTTACCATGAACTTTTCAAACATCTCTTCCAATGGTGGCTTTTTATCCTGCTGCTGATATTGACCTTGTGGTCTGTTTTGATTCTGATTATTCCACGAGAAGTTTGGGTGTTTGACCCCTTGTGCGAGAATTGAACAATTAACAGTATTGTGGTCTGATCCACATTCTTCACAACTTGGCTTCTTGGCTTATTTAGCAGTGGCGGTCTGTGAAATGCTCTCAACCTTATGGAACAAAGAGTCTATCTTTGCAGACACTACAGAATAAGTATCTACTTCATAAACCCCCAACAATCTCGTCTGAACCACGCGATCTATAAACCACATGGCTGAAGTTGTTGCCATTCTCTCAAATAGCTCCCATGCTCCATCAATTGTTCTCGTGGAGATAGAACCGTCAGATGAGGAATCCACCATGCTCTTAAAGGATGGAAGTAGTCCAGTGTAGAAAAATTGGATCTGTGTCTTCTTGTCAAAGCCATGTTACGGGCACTTCCTCAACATATTCTTGAAATGATTCCATGCCTCTTCAAATGATTTGGACTCACCTTGGCTGAAAATAGAGATATCATGCCGCATTTTGGCTACCTTTGCTGGCAAGAAGAACTTGGTGCAGAATTTGTAGGCTAGCTCGTTCCAAGTGGTGATACTTGCGACAGGAAGTGAATCCAGCCATTCAAGTGCTTTATCCCGTAAGGTGTATGGAAACAACCGCAGTCTTATAGCATCGTCCGAGATACCCTGGTAACTGAAGTGTTGGCACATATCCAGAAATCGGGATATGTGTATATGCGAATTTTCACTAGCCATCCCATGGTATTGATGCCTATTCTGAAATAGTTGAATCACATTTGTTTTCAACTGGACATTCGGTTGCCCAAATGGAGGATATACAATGCTAGATTGACTTTAGACCACCAACAGAGCCATGAAGTCCTCGAGTACTGTATTCTCATCATCTTCAACTGCCATGCCTTCGTCGAGTGGAATTATTGGTCAAATTTGCTCGTTAGCCATTTGTTGTGCAGCTCTTGCTTCTCTTTACCTATGACGGAATGTGCGTTCAATCTCTGGATCTATGGGAACCAAATCTTTATCAGGTGCTCCTTGCATACAAGCCCTGAGATTGCAAAATCAACACAAAATTAAATTGAAGTAATAACCAACTAAACCTAGTAAGCTAACTATTTAGTCTAGATAAGTTTGAATTAGTGTCACAAAAGATAAAATTAAAACCAAATTTCAATCCCCGACAATGGCGCCAAAAACTTGTTCGCGAAATTATTTATTACGATTTAAAATCCACCGCAAGTGTACGGTTCGTTAACAAGCAGTAAAATGGACTATGAGTCCAAGTATCGATCCCATGAGGATTGAATTAGTTTGAATTAATCTAATACGACCTTAACCGAAACACGACAATCAAATTGAGGTTTTGTACTTTAACTAACAAAATGTAACCGTTGATGCAATTATGAATGAAGAATTATACTAAGTGCGAAATAACTTGGATACAATTTAACAAGAATTTTATGGAAGTAATGGATGTAATAATGCACTAGGATCATGAATCCCCAAGCAATACTCGTTCAATTGTCAATTATGCAAATTTGACACACAATTCCACAAAAGATGAATCGATATTCCTATTTTAATTTAGCAATCTCTCTCGAGTAATGTCAAACCTATCCCAATATATGATTCGACTATATTTCTATGACGAATACTAATATACCGACATGCATTATAAAATTCACGAATATCCAATGATTCACACAAGGCATAGAGGTATATTTCTATCCCCTATCGGACCCTATGATGATTTATACTATGTCGAACCTATTTTCCTTCTTTTGAATGCATAAAATAGGTTACCACAATCATATAATTACGTGCACAATAATCATATGAAAATAAAAACGAAATAAATCAATCAAATCCGGAACTAGTGTTCAAATACATCAAAAATCCAAAACAACAATTAAACGTAGTGTTACAAGGTTCATCGATCTTCTAGTAGTGATAAATCTAGCCTAACGTGCTAAAAAGTACAAAACAAAAAAATATTTGAAGAAATGACATCACTCGAATCAATCTTCAATCCGATCTTCACTTGGCGCAATGTTGTTCTCTTGTTCTGTCCTTCGTTTCTCCTTCAAAGTCTCCCAAAAACATGTAAAAATGGCATCCCTTACGTTCTGATCGAGTTTTTGTATTTATAGGACCCTAAAAAAAATTGTTTCCATAAGAGTTTCGGAAGAAAAAGGAAACTGAATTTTCACTTGATAATTGCTCTATGCGGTCGCATAGAGTATACTTTTAAAGCTTCTTTGATTTCGGTATGGTACTATGCGACCGGATAGAAGATAGTACTATGCGGTCGCATAGTACTATAAACTATGGTAGATGTGCGTTTTGGTCCTCCCACTTGCATCTTCACTTCTTATCATCTTCTCTTCATTCTTTTCATTTCATTACCCCCACGATATCGTCAATTGGTAATTGGCCTAATCGATTTCTCAATTTGTTCATCGGATCAACTTTTGAATATTTGCACTTTTGGTCCCTGAACTTTCACTTTGCGTCACTTTAGTCCTTTTTTGCATCTTTTCTCCTGAATTTCACCATGTTCATCGTTGTTCCCTACAATTCACAAATGTACGAGATTAAATCACAATTCAATTATTTTGCTCATTATTAAGTCATGTTTGTGACCTAAATAAGTGTGCAAAAATACACTTATCAAGGACCATTCAAACTTTGGAAGATATGCTAAGGGCTTGTGTTTTGGATCTAGGAGGCAGTTGGGAATCGTATATACCTCTGGTAGAATTTGCATATAATAACAGTTTCCAAACAACTATTGGAATGGCACAGTTTGAAACTCTCTATGGTAGAAAATGCAGATCACCTGTTCATTGAGATGAAATTGGAGAAAAGAGAGTTTTTGGGATCAGAGATCATTGAAAGAACATTGAAGTCATTGATAAGATCCGTACCAGAATAAAGGCCGTGCAAGATAGACAAAAGAGTTATGCAGATACCAGGAGAAAAGACTTGGAATTTGAAGTTGGAGAGAAAGTCTTTCTAAAGGTGGCACCAATAAAGGGTGTACTTAGGTTCGGCAAGAAAGACAAACTACGACCTCGTTATATCGGACCTTTTGAAATACATGACTGGGTTGGAAATGTGGCTTATTGATTGGTGTTGCCACTTGAATTATCGGCAGTTCATAATGTGTTTCATGTATCGATGATCAGAAAGTATATGCATGATCCTGATCATGTGATCAACTACTAATCCTTGGAAGTACAAAAGGACTTATCTAATGAGGAATTACCGATCAAGATACTGGATCGAAGGGTACATAAATTACGGAACAAGGAGATTCAACTGGTCAAGGTGCAATGGAATAATCATGGAGTAGAAGAAGCTACTTGGGAAAGAGAAAAAGAAGTTAAAGACAAATACCCAACACTCTTTGTCCAACCATAAGGTAAATTTCGAGGAAATTTTATTTAAGGTGTAAAGGTTGTAGTAGCCGAGAAAAATAAAATGGAATTATGCTAATATTTTATGATGATCTAGCACCACGAGAAGCTCAACCTATGTAAGATTACGAAAGCCCAAGTCATAAGTTAATTAAAAGCCCAGTAATTTAAGAGATTAAGTTTAAGTAAAATTGATTACAAAGATTTAATGAATGATTGGATTGCCACAATGGTCATCTACATGATATTTTATATAGGCAATCTAGGTTCGAGTCACCATGTAGATGTTTTATAAAACTTTCATATGAATTATTTTTATGGCTTAGAGACTCTTCAAATTCTTAGTTAAAGACTAAATTTAATTATAATACAACTCCTCCACTTAATTTTTCATTAAAAAGAAAGGTTATAGAAGTGGAAGGACACTTTTTCACTACACTCCTCTTCAAATCGGAATTTCATCTCATTTTCTCTCAAAAAAAATATATTTCATATCAAGTTAAGCTTAAAGAATAACAAGGGTGAGAAGAAGGAATGCTTTCTATACATTTTGTTCTTTTATCCAAGAAAATTCAAGGTAGGTTGAGGTGCAAGTGTTATTTCATTTTCAAATTTGATTTTTCGTTAAAAGTTGAATGAAATGTTACCTCCGGATATGGTGCTTCGGCACTACTATAGTTTGAATGATCATTCTCCGTCTCTACGTGCTATGATAATGCTATAGATATCTTATTTTGCCGGAAATCCATCTACGTACGACAGTATGAATCTATAGTTTGGAATTTCTAATTTGATAACGAATTGCACCGATGATATCTATTAAATTTCAAAATCATGGGTTAATTCCCTTCCTACAGGATGAATGGATTTTCCTTGGGACGTAGATGATGGTAAAGGATGATACAACATGTCATGGAGAAGCCAGTGATTTACATCTTTAGTTGATTTTGAGATGTTTACACTTTCTTTAAATTTGATTCCTATGAGTATTGTGTGGATCTATTTTACAAACACTCATTATGAATAAATTATATTTGAAAGTAGATATGCGTCATAGGAATAAATTTACAAATCACCGTATACAAAAAAAAAGTTAGGGACTTAAAGTTTTGATGTCTTTTCAGAAATTTCAGTTTCTGCCTTATTTTAAAAAAAAATCATAAAGCTTCCGTTACTTGGTATTTTTATATGGTAATATATCACATTAAGTAAACTGTGCTGGGTGCTGTCTCTTTTTTCAACTTCTACCCTTGTTTTCAAAAATTCATAACTTACTTGTTACTTGGAATTTTTGGATGAAACAAATTGGATTTGATAGTCTCATGGATTAACTACTGAATAAAATTGAAATCATGTGGTTTTGATGTCGGTGGAATTTTATATGCCATTTTAAGTGAACTGCATCGATTTACCTTTCAACTGGGTCGCTGTTAAGTTTTGAAAAATATTTTAATACCCCATATGACGTCGACGAAAGCTAATTTTTGACTATGTCATATTATAAGGAGTTTACTAGCTTACATTAAAATTTGATGAAATTTCAAGGTCGATAGCTATGAAAAAAAATTTATTTTGACAATTACTATTTGAGACAAAAAAACTGGAACAGCAACATTACTTTTTAAGTTTTGCCAAAATTTCACGTCAATAGTAGTTACATGCATGGAACCCATTCTAAAAATATTTTTTTAATTGTTTTCTTTTAGAATGGATTATTGTTTAAATAAAAATAAATAAAATTCTTTAATTAAATTCTAAAATTTAATCTTTATACCTTCTACTAAAAATATATTGAACTAACTTTACGGCTAAAGTACAATGGTTTGAGTGACGTTTCCGTCCATGCGAGTCGGAGCGTTATATATATTTCCTGACACATTGTTAGATGTCAATCTGGGACGACGAGTGTGAATTGGTGATAAATTAAAAGAGTGTTTTAATTTATCAATTTTGATTAGATCAAAATAATATTTCACGTCATTAGACATCGTGATCGGGAACCTGATGGGTCACAACAAAAAGAGAATTAAAAGATTGCAATTTGTCAATTAATTAATTTAACAATCGTTGGATAAATTAATTAATTGGATTGGTTATTTATAGGCCCGAATTAATTAATTGGATTAATTAATTCACAAACCGGATTTAATTAAATGGATTAATTCCATATTGGACCGGATCAGGTCAGACCCGTTTGGACTTATATAAATATATGGCTAGAGTTTTCAATTCATATGATTTTTCTCATAATTATTTTTGCAAGCACAAGAGAAGTAACCCTGGTAACTGCAACCTNATGGCTAGAGTTTTCAATTCATATGATTTTTCTCATAATTATTTTTGCAAGCACAAGAGAAGTAACCCTGGTAACTGCAACCTTATTCTCTGTGTGGATCACCGTTGGAGGTTGGACAATTGGACAGTTGTGAGTGGCGAATCAATATTGCAGGAAGAAAAGAAAAGCAAAAGATTTGTAGAATT